CCCGAAGGGGATTCAGGGCGGCTCACAATTCAATCAGGGAAGGGGATACAGACAAGGGAATAAAAAAGACGAGACATAACAATACAAAATTTAAAAAACACACAACAACCATACCATTCGAGAAGGGGGGCAAAAACTCNTGGACTTCTTATGTAATCTCATAGCTCATCATCCACTTACAATTCATCATCTTTTTAATTTTCTGTTGCAAAGAGTTCTGCCCTACCAAGAGTTCTTAATAATTCAAAAGCTCAATACTGAATGTCTAAGTCTACAAACAAATTGATGGATATAATCAGATTTATACAGTGATATAAACTCTGGTAGAATTTGGAATTGAATAAATTGGTAAATAGGTTGCCTAAATAAAAAAAATCAAAACAAAATATTGAGGCAAAATAAAATGAGCTTTTTTCAGTAAATCGGGTATGATTTTTTTTGCATTTAAGTTATCCCACCACAAAATTACAGGTTACATAAAGCTTTCATTTAAAGTTTTCATTTAAATCTAAGTATTTGCAGCCAAGAGAACCCAGCTTTGTTTACCTGTATGGATCAGTAACAGAATGTGATTTTACATGAGAATACCAATCTTTCTTCCAACTATAGCATTTCCCACAAAATTGACATTGAAAAGGTTTCACTCCAAGATGTTTGTTCATATGCTGGCGGAGATCCCGAGGTTCATAGAAACTTTTCTCACACCTGAAATTAGAGTTGTGATGAATAATAGAGAGTACATGTATATAGTCCTTAATAAGAAAAGAGAAAAGTTTACCACAGTGCAGCCATATATATACATGCATTAATACTATTATTTCATATTTGAAAACAATCCCTATAAAAATATGAAACAATATGCCCTTGCTACAAAATAGTTAATTCTCTATCAGATTATGAAAAAAGGAATGATTCTAAACTAATTAACTTTCCAGAACTGTTTTCAAAACTATTCTACAGCCAATATTGCTACTTCACTCTGGAATAAATAACATCATTATAAAATAAAAAAGAATGGTTTCAATTTGTTATCTTCGGAATAAACTATTTCCATGCACTATGCAATGGAAAAATAAGATTAATACAATTTTAATGAGCACTAAGTGAAAATAAGCAAATATTTAAATATTAGTTGAATTGCTATTGTTGTTATTATTATTATTGGTTAATCTTTTGTGAGATTCACAGCGTTTGGAGCTGGTTGGTAGCTCAACAGCTCAGGTCCTAACCAAGGACCTGGGAACTGTTAAGGTAACATCAGAGGATATAAGCTGTTCCAAGTAGGATGGTTTTTTGTAGAATCAGAATGTTCAAGTCTGATAAATTTAGAATTTCCAAATAGCAAGATAGCCCTTTAGGTATTGCTCCAAGGGTTCCAATTACAATTGGGACAACACATGATTTCTTTTTCCACAGTCGCTCAACTTCAATTTGCAAGTCCCAGTACTTTGTGATTTTTTTCTTGCTGCTTATGCTTATCCTCAGCGTGCATCACTAGGTATTGCAATATCAATGAACCAAACTTTTTTCTTTTTTCATCATCATCATCATCTTATTATTATTATTATCATCATTATTATTATTCTAGAGAACCCAAGAGATACTAAAACAAAGAACATTGTTAAAACATTGGTTAAAGAAATCTAATAGAGAACCCACTCATTCAGGTAAAAAGATTTCTAGCTCACTGACCACTGAATTTACCTGAAAGCTATACAATGCTTAGTGTCAATATGGAATGAGAGTGGAATACTATACTTGAAACTACTTATAATACAAATATGGTTGCCTGAAATTCTAAACAGGAGAATTCCCTTTAGGAATTTGTATGGAGAATAAAATTTGTATTTGTATTGAAAACACTAAACTGATCTCCTGTCATAAGAAAACAATGAGAATAATAAAGAAATTAGAATTACAATGTTTGAAATGTTTTTAAGGGGCAAAAATTCCAGCCAAAACAGCCTAATAACGCTGAGGAGGAAGATTTAGATCATGGCTATCTGGATCCATGAACAATGCTACAATATAATAGTCTAAAACAGTGATGGCTAACCTTTTTTTTGTTGGGTGCCAAAAATGCGAGGTCACGCGCACGGTAGCGCATGCTGGAACCTGTAATGGAAAGTGCCCCCCACGTGCATGTGTGCACAACCCCCACCCTCCACATGCACCGCACTATTCGCCTCCAAGCAGAGCTTGGTATTTCCTCCAGGTGGCCAGGAGAGGCCATTTTCAATCTCCTCAGGCTCCAGGAAAGCCTGCAGAGCCTGGGGAGGATGAAAAACGGGCCCAACGGGCCAACCAGAAAATTCTATTGGCCTGTTGGACCCGTTTTTCACCCCCCCCCCCAAAGCTCCGGAGGCTTTCCTAAAGCTGGGGAGGGCAAAAATGGCCTCCCACCCCCCTCCAGAAGGAAATTTTCTGAAAATCAGCTAGCCAGCGTGCGCATGCGCACTGGAGCTGATGGCTCGCGTGTCAGCAGATATGGCTCCGCGTGTCACTTGTGGCACCCGTGCCATAGGTTNCCCAGATTGTTGGGGGCAATATGCTGACTCTCTGTAAACCGCTTAGAGAGGCCTGAAAGGCCTATGAAGCGGTATATAAGTCCACTGCTATTACAACAAAAAGACATAGATTTCCTATTCCCATCAAAATAATTTAAACCAATAGCCCTTTATCAAAGGTCACAGAATATATTTTACTAAATGTATTGTGAAAAGCCATGTAATGATATAAATTATGAATACATTATATCACAACTCAGCAAAGCATGATCCCCAAATTATGTACACATACAATTATGATTACTAAGGTATAAGAAAACAGAATAAATCTGCTAACATTTTATTAAAAGGCAACATTTGATGAGCTTCAGCTGACTTCATTAGATGCACAGAATAGCTAGATTAGGATTTGAATTGGGATGAGACAAGTTGGGAACAAAGAGGATAGTAGTTATACAGATGCAAGTTACACACTGAGCAAATTGAAGGAATGGTTCTATTTCATTGTTTTGAAGTAATGGTTAAATACTATCATAACTTCAACAATTTGGATTCCTCCATCACCCTCAACATTGACTTTCCTTCCAAAAGGGCCACTTTTTTGATGTCATGGTAAAACTACGCATTCATTTTGCAGGAAACCTACAGAATTAATTTACATCATGCAAGGAACATGCACTTCCAGCTTCCATTCAGAAATTTTAATAAAATCTATCATGGTAGAACTCGGCTGCATGCTACAACTGGGTTCAATCTGGTTCTCTTGATAGAGACACTCCACAAATGGAATTAGACTAGGTATTGATTACCCACCCAACAAGATCAATAGACCACTCATTAGTAACAGACTTAGTAATGCATTTTCTGAAGTGATGGGTAGAAGGCCATATTTGCAGATACCACTGAAACTGAAGCAAAAAGAAACTACATACAATGGTACTGAGATAATAACCAGACCTACAACAATGTCTACTCTGCCCTCAAATCTGTATTAACAGCATTATCACATCTATTTTGTGATATAAATCATCATTTGCCAGCAATGTACCTAGCACAACTGGACAAACTTTGCACATAATGGATGCACTTTTACAACAAGATTCAAAATAAGAACAAAAATAATACCAGAGCATTTCAAGCTCCGAGGTTAGTCTACACATTAAAAAAAATTCAGGCAATCTCAAAAAGCCTCATCAAAAACAACAGATTTCTAACACATTATAATTGTTTGTGGTTAAGGTACTTGTAAACTGCCTCACAAGTAATTTGGTTTTGCATAACCAGTCTATTTCCCCTCTCACGTCATCTCAAGTCAATCTAAGTACTGTATGCATCCTATAGATGAAAGTGTATTCTTTTTAATAAAATTTAATTATGTTCGTAAAGGAACATAGGAATATTTAAGCTGTGAGGTAAAATAAATGTCATCTTTCTGTGATATTGTTAAATATTGTTTTGGATGTTCTTACTCTTATTAAGAATACAGGCAGCCATCATTATTCAGTCTCCCTAAATTAACAAATACAGCAAAATACTTACCGACTGTCCTTTCTTGTGCTTTCTCCTGTACAAAACAGTCCAATTGATCTGACGGGGGTTTCTCTTAGACAGGAATGCAGACTCACATTTTGCATTCAAAAATTGAAAAACCTGAAACATTTGGATTAATTTTTTTAAACATAACATGCATTTGGTACTAATGCATACTGATAAAACAGCTCAAAACATCTCTAGATTTGAGGTTTCAATCGTGATTAGCTGTGAACTAGGCAATATACAAGTTAAAACTGAGCTAAACCCGTTATTTTGCAACATTTTCAAAAAACTGAAAAGTATAGTCAAGATGCTACTTTTTGCAATATTCCACCAGTAATGCTTGCACTGTTTCCAAGGTACGTAAAATAATCTTCTTGATTCCTTAACTACTTCACTGCTCCATTGGGCGAGTCAGACAAAACGTGTATTTTGCTTTAATAAGACTTCACTTGCTATATGGCTAATAATTTCTTTTAGGTTGTTCTAAGTGCTGGCTAGTAGGGGCACCAAAAATTACATTTGTAATTATAAAACTGGATGGATATGTAACAATGCCAGTAATCTTTTCAGTGATTCTATCAAAACATGACTTCCATGCATGTATTGAGCAACAATTTCAGTAGTATGCCAGACTTTTTTTTTTTGCGCCTTACCTTTCCGTCCGTACGAGCGTAGCGGCGGCCATGGCCGGGGTAGATCTTGTACCCACTGAAGCTGCACAGCTCGACCCTGCATCCCAAAGTTATCGAGAAACAAATTAGCAAACTGAGAAAACCTAAACCTCCCCCATTTCATGTGCCAAACCTGAGGATGGCCTCAGATTAAACCAAGGCCCCGAGTCTTACTTCATAATGGTAGCAGCGGAGCAACCTCACCGGTTCCTCCAGCGTATAAGAGAAAGAGAGGCTCACGGGAAACCGGATTCTAGACTTACGCGGTGCATGATGGGAACACCCGCTATTTGTTGTACGATGGGAAGTGCTGCTCTTTCATTAGCTGGTAGTTTAATTCCTAAAGTAGATAAAACTCATTATCTGGGACACAAAGGGTCTTGAAAACTTTGTACCGTAATATAAAATATCTGACATTATTTTTTTCTCAAGCGTTTCCTGTTATCCAATCAGTACTCTAGCCTCAGTACGGTTGCCTAGCATTGGAAGCAAGCGGGAAGTATGGCGGCAGCATCGGTTGCGGAGGTTTCCGCAACGAAGACTGAGCCGGTAAAGCCATCCACGGGCGCTAGTCAAGGTAGGAGTAAAATCTGCCGAGTGCGGAGAGCGACGAAAATAAGAGATTTGGGAACGCTGGCTGAGGAACAGGCAGTTTTTTCGTTGACCGTTATGGGAGGGGGGGCGCTGAGTTTTGCGCGGAGCCTTATGGGGACTGTAGTTTGTATGATCTTTGGTTTTGATTAATAGTATGAGTTAATTTTAACAATGCACTACAAATCCCGAAAGGCCTTGCGAGCGGTTGTTTCTTTGTGTAGTTTGTAGGAGCGGTACCTCACTTACTTGGCGTTTTTATACACGTATATTGAAATAATTCCAGACATTCTTTTGTGCCTTCTTTCTACATGTCCACATCAAATAGAAGTGTAATGACAGTTATGTAACTCTGTTAGATGAGATACTACTATCATTCTTTTTTGCAACTAGTTTTTTGTCCTGCAAAGCATTATAGTATTGTGATACTTGTCTCTCTTTGGGGGAGAGGTTGTGTTACAAGCTATTTGCTAATGCTAAAACTCTTGTTATATGCGAGAATTTATTTTTCATAGGATGGCAAAATTGAGCAAAATTGTTCCATTGTAAATAATGGTAATGCTATATTTTAGTAAGTACATTTTTTACAAATTAAACCTTTGCAATACAATGTAAAGGAAACACTATAGCATGTACTACAAAATGTCTGTAGAATGCCCCATAGAAATGTAGACCTGACATGAGCAGGTTATGTTAGAACACTTTGAAAAATATTGCTTAGTACTGTAAAGAGTATGTTGCAAAAGCTGAAGTTTAAGGTTTTTCAGATATGTTAAAAAAAGAACAAAGAATTTGGTGCCCAGTTTAATACTGTATTGCAAAATATTAACTTATTTTATGATTGCATATTGTCTTATGATTGCATATTGTCTTCTAAATTTGCTGTGTTGGGGGTTTTTTAACATTTTTTTTTCTTATTTAACAGGTTCTTTAATTAATTGGTCAGGCCAAGGTTTACAAAAACTAGGACCAACTTTATCCTGTAATGCAGACATACATACTTTGATTTTGGATAAAAATCAATTAATTAAATTGGAACACCTGGAGAACTATAAGAACTTGATGCAGGTAGCGTTTTTTCATACATATGAACAAATATGCTTTGTTACTTAAATTATTTATATTTGGGGGAAAACTTGGAAAAATAAATTGTAATGTTTCATTCTGTATGTTATGAGCAAAGGATAACCTTCAATTAAAATGAGTCCAATACAGTGTTTGATTCATCAGATTTCTATGCACATACTGTGTACACAAATTAGAACAACTAATTATCTTTGTTAATTAATATTTCTTATATGTTTTGGTTTTGAAGTAATTGAAAGCTTCTGACAGAATATTATTGGGAAGGCACATTCTGTGAAAATGAATTTTGAAAGCACTTTTGTAGGTGCAGTCAGAAAGAGACTGATAAGAAGGAAGGTTTAAACTACACTTCCAATACAAGAATACAGGGCTGCAGATAACTTGTAGGGATTTATAGGTTAGTATCAGCATTTTAAATTACACACAAAAGCCTATCTTCATTAAGTCACCCAGAGTGACCTTGTATGGGAGATGGGCAGCATAGAAATGTAATAAATACATAAAAATAAGTGCATGGCTGCAACATCAGTGAAATGTGTCTCCACTGGGAGAGATCAGTCAGTACGTAGACTGCTGTTCTCTTAAAACTGCAGGTTTTAAGTCAGACCAATGTAAAGCATGTTAGCAGTAGTTTTAAACAGGTAATGATGAAGGCATGGGTCATTGCATTCCAGTTTGGATTACAATTCATTCAACGTAACATGATCTTCTTCCAGACTGGGTTGCAACTGATACAACCTTCCCCCACAATGCTAAAGGTACTAAATGCAAAGTAAAAGTACTTTACTTTGCAGTAAAGTACTAATCTCTAGTATTGGGTGGTATGTACATACTTTCCCATTTATAGTTTTCTCCAACAATTTAAGTAATTGTAAGCAAAATTGAAGCTATTTGTCCATTTTCTTGCAGTTGTCAGTAGCCAACAATCGTCTAGTGCGGATGATGGGTATAGCAAAGCTGACTCATCTTCGAGTGTTAAATTTGCCTCACAACAGTATTGGTAACGTAGAGGGATTAAAAGAGCTAATGTATCTGGAGTGGCTGAATCTGGCAGGAAACAACTTAAAGGTAAATTTTCTTTAAATAATCAAATAAATAACAAATAATGAACAAAATAAGTACTGCATCTTGCCTTTTGGAGGAGTTGTATAGAAGTGGGTGGCCTTGTACCTTAAAATTGTAAACAATTTTATAAAACAATTTTATAAAAATGTTAATCCAATACAGTAGTATTGTATTTAATTTATGTCATACCTAGGAACTTGATTAAGGCAAAATGTTTGGAAATGCAATATTACATGGGATGGAATAGGATAGAATAGGATAGAATTTTAAAATTGGACGGAAAAACTTCACTAGCCTACATTATGCTGACAATGCTATCCAGATAGCCCCTCAACATTCAGATAAGATTTGGGCAATGTGTAGGCTCTAAAGAACAACCTTTCTATCATAGTAATAATTGTTGTTCCCCTGGTGAAATAATACTATTGGATATAATTATTTTGAAGAAAAAATGAGGAAAAGTTTTTCTGTAGCTAATGCTGGACTTTAGATTTTCTTCCTGTGAAATAAACATCCCTCCTTAATTGAATTTTTGCTGTGATGGAAAGTCAGTCAGTTTATAACCTGTTTTATGGAAATACTTTAACAGTTTTCATATCTTGATCTGTATTTTGTGGCCTATTATAGATTTTAATATTATTATATTTAGTTTCTTTGTTAACTCTAGATTTTTAAAATTAGAAATGAGATTTAATCATTTTAAGTAAGATATTATAGGTAAATTACTTTAGACTTGTATTGTGGCAGACGTAAATCAATTACAACGTTTAAAAGTATCAGATTATTTCTGTTTGTTTTCAGAAGAATTCTTCCTTCTGTTCTTGTCTCTATACTTCTGTACCTGAACATACATTTCTCATCTTTTAGGAGTTCTGTAGTCCTGCTTTTTAAAATGTATAATAATTTAATGCAAATTTCAGAGTCTTGGAATGTTTGATTTATTAGAATTCAAACTGCTAGAACAGAGTTGCGCAACTTTTTCTGGGCAGCAAATTACATTTAACCTTTGAGAGATGTGCAAGTTAGTAGACTCCAGAAAGTAGTGGATGGAGCCACTATTAAGTACATTTTATTTTATTCCATTTAAACTTTTTTTGCATTGTGGGAAATATGATTGTACTCAATTCAAGTATTTTATGTTTTTAAAACTGCTGTTTGATAGCAACTTTTGGAGATCCTCGAGACTGCATCCAGGATTTCAGAAGTCTGTTTTGAGCCCAACTTTTATAATAATGACCTTATGTTCCAGAATCATTAGAGTCAGTTTTATTAGATTAAAACTAAAATCCAATGCAAAATGGACATTTAGCCCCTAAGACATAGTGATAAATATTCCTCTGGCCAAGCACATAATTAGTAGTTTCCTGCTTTGCATGTTTCCAAGATGCCTTCCAATCCTTATATATCTTTTCTATTATTTCTGGTTCACAGGCTTTCTCCACACAATCTAGGACCTGTTTTTCTTAATTTCATGTTGGAATCTAATTTACAATATTTACATGTAATATTAAAACAGTTAGAAGCTATATCATTCAAAGGTCTTCTATTAGATATGATTTAACTTCTATACACCTTTCTCATAAGTTAAACTCACCCAGAATAAAGCATACATGTTCTTTTTTAATTATGGAAGATGAATTTATAGCATGTCTTAATTGAGAGCAAGTTTGATGTAGTGGATAAGACACCAGGCCAGAAACTGAGTGGTGCGTGATCTTGGGCCAGTTACTCTCTTTCAGTTTTAGGAAGAAGGAAATGGTAAGCCATTTCTGAAATCTTGCCAAGAAAACTGTAGGGACTTGTCTAGGTAAGTGCCAGGAATCATCTCAGACTCAAGGGACACCATGCCATATTTGATGTAGTGCATTTTTGCTAATCTAAAAGACACTTCCTTTGATATTAAGAATTTTAAGCAATTGCAACTATTAAGCTTCATAATGTTGCTGAAAAATATTTTGTTTTCCTTTAGACTATAGACCAGATCAGTTGCTGCACATCTCTTCAACATCTTGATTTGTCAGATAACAATATACCCCAAATAGGAGATATCTCCAAACTTTCATCTCTAAAGGTAAATATTTTAAGCTTATATTCTTGGATGGTCTAAATTAAAGAGTGAGTTCAGAGCAGCATTGCTAGCCCTTAACTGTAATAAAGTTTTTATCTTATTCACAAGAGCATTTTCTTCAGGTAGCTATGAATAAGAAAATTCTTCTTTAAATGCTTTTAAAGCAGTCATGTCCAACCATGTGGCCCTGGATAGCTAGTAATGCAGCCTCACCAGATAATTAAAAATATACAAAATAAAGGAAGTTTTTATTTATATATATATTAACTATATTGTGTATATTTTTATGTGACCCAATTGCACTTTGCTCAATGCAGCCCAGCTTAGCCAAAAGGTTGAACAACCATTCTTTAAAACATGATTTGGGTACATAGTAATTTAGGCTGTAATTCAACTAAAATGAAGATTAACTAGTCGATGATTAATATCATTTAGATCTAACATATTACATTTCTAAATGTAACTAAACTAAAGAGAAAATACAGTTATGTACATTTTTTACATTCCCTTGAAATATCATTTATTTTTAACACATCCATGTGTTAAATATAAACAATATTTCAAGTGTGTTTGTGTGTGTGTGTACCTATATATTTGCTGTATTTTCATAATCCTTATGTAGTTTTATTAATATTCAGAGCATTCACATTATTGAAGTATATATCTGTATATTGCTTTTTCCATTTTACTATTCCTCAAGACTCTGCTGCTCCATGGAAATATCATAACTTCGCTGCGTTCAGCACCTTCTTGTTTACCTCAAGGCCTGACTATTTTTTCGTTGGCAGAAAATGAAATTAGAGATTTGAATGAGGTAAGAATAACATTTTTGAAGAAAATGGGATAACTGTTTGAAAAAAAATCAGATACAACCTAAATTACTATAGGTACATTTCATTATAATCATGTATAGTTTTATTTTTATTACTATGTTTTGGGCACAGAAAATATGTAGATTTTAAAATTAAATGACAGTAACTAGAAATAATTTAATTAATGATTGTATAAATAATTAAATATGTTCACAATTAAAGTAATCAAAATACTGTAAAGGGGAAATGACATTCTTTGAGACAAATTCTTAATGTAAGTTCTTTGAAGCATATTTTTGAAATTTAAATATTAGTTACTATGATCAAAGATAAATTTTGGATTACTTACTTTACAAAATGCTTTACATTTAATAAACAGGAATTAAAAGAAAAATAAAATTGATCCTACCTAAGGAGAGAGGAACAAATGTTCCTGGTACAGGTATTTTGTACCTTTTTTTAGTGATGATGGGCTCAATCAGATTAAAAAGTAGAAATATCATTTGAAAGGCACTATGAATTTAACTTAGTTTAAACACCTTTTTTTAACCTTAACCCTAACTTTCCCAGCTGGCTTCTGACAAGCAAAGTCAATGGAAGAAGCCAAATTTGCTTAACTGCATGTTTCACTTAAGACGTGCAGTGATTTGCTTAACCACAGTGACAAAAATTCTGTAAAATGGGGTGCAACTCATTTAATTCTCTTGCTTGGCAATGAAAATTTTGGCTCAATTGCGGTTGTAAGTCAAGGATTTACAATTGAAATGTCTTTCATATTACAATAAAGCTATTGGCAGAAAATATTCTACTATTCTAGTAAAAATGTGTTTAATAAATTCTAAGAAATAATAAAAGAAAAGAATAGTCTTCGATAAAATTAAGCAAGTAAAATTATTTTTCTTTCAAACATCGAACATAACTAAGCTGTAGGCTATATCTGTAGTGCTGCTCAGCATATAAATTTTCTTTACATTTAATCACCAAAATAATTGTTTCCTTTTCTTTTTAGATTTCTTTCTTGACCTCTTTTCCTAAACTAGAGCAACTCTCAATTATGAACAATCCTTGTGTGATGGCAACACCTAACATTCCAGGTTTTGATTACCGACCATTTATTGTCAATTGGTGTCTCAGTCTTAAAGTAATTGATGGATATGTGGTTTCTCAGAAAGAAAGGTAAGAACATGATTAAACCAAGTGTGGCCATCAGTCTATGTATCTATCCGTCATTTAGCATTTGCAAGACAAAGATTGAGAAAACAAAAAAAGATGTCAGGATAGTAATAAATCTTGAAAAAGCTTTAATAAGAAATTGTCCTGAAATATATTTACAGCATTACAAGGATATTAGCCGAAATAGCCTGGGTGAACTCAAATGGTATGAAAGGTTTCCCGAACTCAACTGACAAGAAGCTTGGGGAAAGGCCAAGTTTTATAACCCCCTTTCCCCATTCCTTGCAGTGTTGGGAATACTCACCCAGTGCTAGGATAATTGCAATTAATGTTTGTATTTACATTTGCTATGTAGTGGAGTCGATGAAAAGGGATTACAAAAGAGTAAGTAGACACACAATAGAGAATACACATAGAAAGGAATGAGCTGGCATTAGATATTTGCCTTAAGAGGCAAAATAAATAGTTTAATGTGAAACCGATTCAGGTTTTGTCAGTTTCAGATAGTATAAGAGTTGCCTATACAGTGGCTGTACATATTGTTTAACATATATGAGAAAACTAAACTTGTGCCTGATGATTGGTATAATGCCACTTCAGGGGTGTCAAACTCATGGCGGCATCATATGAGGTATCGGGACTTTTTCCCCCTTCGCTAAACCGGGCAGGGGGCAGGGCCAGCATATGATGCATCTGGGCTGCAAGTTTGACACCCCTGCTCTATATAAATGTAGCAAGAATAAATACAAAAAATTCAAGGGATTAAGAAAGTTGTGCACAGACTCTAACTGAAAGAATACATGAGGTAACAATGATTTGGGAAGTACAGTGGTTGCAAGGAATGAAAGAGAAAAGTGAGAAAATTGTGAAAGAGGTGAAATGTTTAAAGAACGAAAAGTAGTACATAAATCAATATACAGGCATCTTTGCAGCAAGGTTTATTTGGAAAGTTAAAAGGCTAGATAGGTACTATAGAACAGTTATATTTCCTTTTTTCCTATTATCTTCCTTTAATTTTTTACTTACTTACTTTTTTCCTAAACTTTGCATAATAACTTACTCTGAAAGAGAGTAATTTGAGACCATGTATGGATAATATTGAGTAGAAAGAGTATTTGTTCTTTATGAAATAGTTCTGTTAAAAATATGTTATTAATTTTCATTTATGTATATTTAAGTCTAACAAATTCTAAGGCAAGTTACTGTACTTCCAAGGTCTGGTTTTAATTTATATACTCCTGGATACTTAGTATGTATCTGAAATAGTTTATAGTTTGGAGATCATGAAAATTATTGCTTTCTCCCAATGTATTATGATATATCAACAATTGATTATATTGTTGCTATTGCTTCCGAGTTACATCTATTACTTCTGGATTACAATTGCTGTTTTTTATGCTCTTATGTTTCTCATAGAAAGGATTTTCAAATGTTTATTACAATTAATATTGTTTTTGCGTATAGCTTGAAAGCAGAATGGCTTTACAGTCAAGGAAAGGGAAGATCATTCCGACCAGGCCAGCACCTTCAGTTAGTACAATATTTGGCCAGTGTTTGTCCTCTTACTACTATGTTTGGACTCCAATCAGCAGAGGATGCCAAACTGGAAAAAATACTACATAAGCAAAGGTGTGAATATCATTGTTTATGAGTCATTTTTATATATTTTAATAATAATCATTTTAACTGTTCAAGCAGGCCTTGATTCATAAGGCTTTTAAAGCTGCTTTTTAAGGTTAGAAAAGTTGATTTGAAGATATATATGTATTTTGCTAACTCTTGCTAACATTTGTGATATTAAAGAAGAGTGGTTCTCTGCTCTAGTGTTCTTAAGTCATGAAATAAAACCATTTAATTTTTTTATTTAGGTTGCATCAGAGGCAATTGATGTATCAGAGCCATGCCAATGAGTCACCTCTATCCTTAACTCTGAATAAAGAACTACTCATTAATAATGAGCCAAACAGTCCTGCCCATGTACAACAAGAAATAACTGAAGGTAGTAAGAATTCATATCCATTGTGTTTTCATCATTCTTGCCACCCACTTGTCTATAGGTTTGTAATTAGTGATTGGGTACATATATACAAGTTCATAATTAAAGTGTGCCTTCATGCTAGATTAATGTACTGAATTACTTAAATTCAAATTCAAAATATATTGTGTATAATTAACAAAGTGTGGTTCAATTGTGGCGTACTAGAGTAGATAAAATGGGATAACATATCTGTGGAATTCAGAGAGTGGAGGAATGAAAAGAAGAAGCTATAGCCAAATAGGACTAGGAATAATGAAAATACTTATTACAAATGGAGTTTAGTGTTGAATTGAAATTTATTATGCAGACTGTAACTCCATATAGCAAATTAATTTGTAATAAGAAAACTGCACAAGGCAGTCAAAGAGGCATTTTTAAAAGAGGCTTACATTGCTACTTTGGTAACCCCTTATGAATATAGGCACTAACAAGGAAATGGTTGTTCACACTAACACATAGTGCATATTTTGACTACATTATAATATGTAATATGCTAAGATTATTAAATGAACTCTTGAAGATCTTGTTCAATATTATAGTTAAAATTTATTTTAAAAAACTGATCTTCAAGTATTTCAAAACAAAAATGCTTTTCTTTACTAAATGGATGTGAATTGTAACCATAGTTGAGCACAGAAAGCATCTCTGTAGAAGAAGCTTAAAGATTTCGATAGGTTAGAATAGTTTTTCATTCTTGTCTTTGAAGAAACAAAATATATCTTGTTTGGTTTCATAAAACAGCTGACACAAAGATCTATGTCACCAACAGCAGTGGTAATAATTATTCTTGTTTTAAAACCATTTAAAGCCAAGCTTCTGAATCTTCTTTATTAGCAAATCTAAAGCTGTAAAAATTTAAGATTTTGGGATGGTTCATGTAGATTATAAACTGTAATTTTTGAATGTTGGTTTCATGATGTTTTGGAAGGCCTTAGAAGTCTTCCAAAGTTTTTTGACACATTGTGAAAATGGCATGCACAATTTGGTGAACTAAATTTGGTGAGGCCACTAAAATCCTGAGGTTTTAGAAGGCCTCAAAGGCAATCATTGAGAATCTAGAAGATAGCAGATACTTGAGAGACCGCTAGTATCTAGCAGATACTTGAGAGACCGCCTCCTGCCAATTACCTCCTCACGACCTATCAGATCACACAGATTAGGCCTCCTCCGAGTTCCATCCGCCAGTCAGTGTCGACTGGCAACCACGCGGAGGAGAGCCTTTTCAGTAGTAGCTCCGACCCTTTGGAATGATCTCCCCG